GAAATTACCCCAAAAAATCCCGAAATTTGTACTCAAAAATAAAAAATATGAAATTTTGCATTAAAAACAATTTTAAAAATACAAAATTTTGCATTAAAAACAATTTTAAAAATACAAAATTTTGCATTAAAAACAATTTTAAAAATACAAAATTTTGCATTAAAAACACCCAAATATGACCAAATATGGAAGTGGGTGGGGCTGTGGGTGGGGCTTTGGTGCAGGCTCCGCCCATTTGCATGAATTAAAAAAAATTCCCCCAAATTGCAAGAAAACCCTGAAATTTCTCCTCAAAAATACAAAAAAATCACATTGAAACCGCCCAGTTATGCCCATATATGGAAGTGGGTGGGGATGTGGGCGTGGCTTCTGTAGAGGCTCCACCCACAGCCAGAAAATTCCCCAAAATTCACCAAAAAAATCATTAAAACCCCTGGAATTTCCACCCAAAAATAACAAAAAATCCATTAAAAAAAAACCCCAAAATTGGGATAGAGGCCCCAAAATTTTCCAAATTTAAAAAAATTCCCATTTTTTTCCCAAGTCGGAATTTTTGGGAAAAGAATGAGGGAAAAAGACCCCTAAAATTCCCCCCAAAAATACAAAAAAACCATTCCCAAAAAACCCCAAAATTGGGATAGAGGCCCCAAAATTTTCCAAATTTAAAAAAATTCCCATTTTTTTCCCAAGTCGGAATTTTTGGGAAAAGAATGAGGGAAAAAGAAGGATTTGGGGTGAAAACTGGGATTTTTTTGGGGAAAAAAGGTGAATTTTGGAGGAATTTTTTTCGGGGAAAATGATATTTTTGTGGAATTTTTGGGGGGAGAAGTTGGATTTTGGGGAAAAAATGTGGATTTGAGGGAAAGAATGCTGATTTTAGGTGAGAAATTGAGGATTTTAGAGGGATTTTTGAGAGAAAAAAAAGAGGAATTTTTGGGAAAAAAAGGTGTATTTGGGGCAAAAAAAATGTAGATTTTAGGAGGGAAAATTTGAATTTTGGAGGGAAAATGGTGAATTTTGGGTAAAAAGTGGGGAAAAAATGCTGATTTTAGGCGAGGAATTGAGGATTTTAGAGGGATTTTGGATTTTTGAGAGAAAAAAAAGAGGAATTTTTGGGAAAAAAAGGTGTATTTGGGGCAAAAAAAATGTAGATTTTAGGAGGGAAAATGGTGAATTTTGGGTAAAAAGTGAATTTGGGGGAATACAAAGCGATTTTTTTGGGGAGGAAAGTGTATTTTTGGGGAGAAAAGAGGGATTTGAGGGGTGGATTCGGGGCAAAAAATGTAGATTTTAGGAGGGAAAATTTGAATTTTGGAGGGAAAATGGTGAATTTTGGGTAAAAAGTGAATTTGGGGGAATATAAAGCGATTTTTTGGGGAGGAAAGTGAATTTTTGGGGAGAAAAGAGGGATTTGAGGGAAGAAAATGTGAATTTAGGGGGGAAAAAAGGAAGATTTTGGGAAAGGAAATCAGATCTTGTGGGGAAAATGCAGATTTTGGTGTGAAAAATTATGGTTTTGGGACAAAAAATGTGGGTTTTGGGGTAAAAAAATAATATTTCGGGGAGGAAATAAAATATTGTGGGGAAAGTATGAATTTTGGGTAATAAAAATGAATTTTGGGGTAAAAAAATTTGGATTTTGGGGCAAAAAAAGGCGATTTTGGGGGGGAAAATCCAATTTCTGGCTCACAAAGGGGGAATTTTTGGGATCAAACCCCTTTTGAGGGGTTTCCGGTGGGGATTTGTGGGATTTAAGTGAATTTTGGGTGATTTTTTGGTGGATTTTGGGTGAATTTTGAGCGATTTTGGCGCCGTTGCGGGAGGGGCGGGGGGGGCTCAAAATGGCGGCGGCTCCTGAGGGGAGCAAAAATGGCGGGAAAACGGCGGGGTGGGCGTGGCTCGGCGTGACTGCGGGGCGGAGCCCCGGGCAGGGCGTGCCCACAACACCGCGGGCGCCCCATTAATAATTAATTACTCCCCAATTAATCAACGGGGCGTGGCTTTATTGATGAAGGGGCGTGGCTTCGCTCCCCCCCTTCACCCAAGCAACGCCGCGCCCCGCGGTTGCCATGACAACGCTCCCCCAACATGGCGCCTCCGCCGCGCTGCCTCCTGATTGGCTCCCCCCTCTCCTCACCACCAATCAGCGCCCTCCTTTCCTGAGGGGAGTCGAGGGGGGCGGCCGCCATTTTGCGGCGCGCGGCGGCGGCAAACCCTGAGGCGGGGAAAGAGGGGCGTGGCCACATCGCCCCGCCCAATCATCGCCCGCCGCGGGCGCGCTTCCTCCAATCAGCGCCTCGCCGCCGGCCACGCCCCCCCGCCGAGGCCCCGCCCACCTCTCCCCTCACGCCGCTCTCCCTGCTGTTACTGGGAGCACTGGGAGTGATGGGGACACCGCTGTGGGTTTATACTGGTGGCACTGGTGGCACTGGGAGCTGTTACTGGTGTTACTGGTGGCACTGGGAGCACTGGGGGTAATGGGGACACCAGTACGGGCCTGTACTGGGAGCACTGGGAGGGTTGGGGGAGCTGTTACTGGTGTTACTGGGAGCACTGGAAGTGATGGGGGAGCTGGACTGGGAGCACTGGGGGTGATGGGGACACCAGTGACACTCTGTACTGGGAGCACTGGGAGCCGTTACTGGTGGCACTGGGAGCACTGGGAGCTGGTACTGGGAGCACTGGGAGTGATGGGGACACCAGTATGGGTCTGTACTGGGAGCACTGGGAGCACTGGGAGCTGTTACTGGGAGCACTGGGAGCCGTTACTGGGAGCACTGGGAGCTGTTACTGGGAGCACTGGGAGCCGTTACTGGGAGCACTGGGAGCTGTTACTGGGAGCACTGGGAGTGATGGGGACACCAGTATGGGTCTGTACTGGGAGCACTGGGAGCACTGGGAGCCATTACTGGTGGCACTGGGAGCACTGGAAGCTGCTACTGGGAGCACTGGGAGCACTGGGAGCTGTTACTGGGAGCACTGGGAGCCGTTACTGGGAGCACTGGGAGCGATGGCGACACCGCTGTGGCTCCTGTTACTGGTCTGTACTGGTTTCACTGGTGTTACTGGTCTGTACTGGTGTTACTGGTCTGTACTGACCCACACCGGTTTATACTGGGTCTAAACTGGTTTTTACTGGTCCATACTGGGTGTAAACTGGTCCATACCGCTCCATACTGGTCCAAACTGGTTTATACTGGTCCATACTGGTCCATAGTCATCCATACTGGTCCATATTGGTTTTTACTGGTCCAAACTGCTCCAAACTGGTTTATACTGGTCCAAACTGGTTTATACTGGGTTTTTACTGCTCCAAACTAGTTTTTACTGGTCCGTACTGGTCCATACCGGTCCAAACTGGTTTATACTGGTTCTTTACTGCTCCAAACTGGTTTGTACTGGTTTTTACTGCTCCAAACTGGTTTATACTGGTCTGTACTGGTCCATACCGGTCCAAACTGGTTTAGACTGGTTTTTGCTGCTCCAAACTGGTTTGTACTGGTCCAAACTGGTTTATACTGGTCCATACCAGTCCAAACTGGTTTTTCCTGCTTTTTTACTGCTCCAAACTGGTTTATACTGGTCTGTACTGGTCCATACCGGTCCAAACTGGTTTATACTGGTTTTTTACTGATCCAAACTGGTTTTTGCTGCTCCAAACTGGTTTGTACTGGTCCATACCAATCCAAACTGGTTTTTACTGGTTTTTTATTGCTCCAAACCGGTTTTTACTGCTCCAAACTGGTTTGTACTGGTCCAAACTGGTTTATACTGGTCCATCCCAGTCCAAAGTGATTTATACTGGTTTTTTATTGCTCCAAACTGGTTTATACTGGTCTGTACTGGTCCATACCGGTCCAAACTGGTTTATACTGGTTTTTTACTGCTCCAAACTGGTTTATACTGGTCCAAACTGGTTTGTACTTGTCCAAACTGGTTTGTACTGGTCCAAACTGATTTATACTGGTCCAAACTGGTTTATACTGCTCCAAACTGGTTTGTACTGGTCCAAACTGGTTTATACTGGTCCAAACTGGTTTATACTGCTCCAAACTGGTTTGTACTGGTCCAAACTGGTTTATACTGGTTCTGACTGCTCCCCCTCTCCCCTCCCA